TAATATACCTGTTGTATCAATCTGCCATGCAATTGGAGATCACTCGGTTCAACATGAGGGGCACAGTCTCTCTGAAGTTGCAAGGCACACACAATAGTGTCTCTAATAGTGGTAATGCAATTTTGAACCCTTTCGGTCTTCAACAACCTTCTTGTTAGATACCCACGCACTCCAGCCTGAATTTTAGTGGCAGCTTGAATCTGAAAAGAGAAAAATACAAAAAAAAAAGTGATACATGTTTTTCAATTTCAGATTTTGTCATAGGTTTCATAAGCTCATATGATGAGTGCTTTGGTACCTCATATGTTTGCACAACCCAGTCTGGATGATTTTGAGAAATATCATCAGGGAATAACTGCCGACTGCACCAAGATCGGCGTTTATTCTTTGGGCTTCCACTTGAGGGGTTTGATGTAAAAGCAGAGGGCATACTATTTTGTGGAGCAGTAACAATTTCTTTAGGTACTGGAATTGGCTTGTTCAGAGGTAATGATTGCCCTTTGCTAGAAATAACATTAGAATCCAATTCATTGTTGGCAAAGTACAACGAGAGGATTTCCGGAGGTAGGCTGAATGTCATACTCTCCTGCTGGACCACAGGTCCATCACATGGAGGAAAACTTGATATCATATAAGAGGGAGCACTGCAGATGTTAGGTGGCATAGTTTGACTAGTGCAAAGCCCTTGCAAGGTTGAGGTATTCTGGACACCTCCACCATTGCTATCAAGATCTATCAGTTTGGCATGCTCAATAGAGCTGGTAACATCAGCCAATGATATTGATGAGCTTTTACTATATTGACCAAGGCAACTTTGCAGTTGCTCGGGGATTTCCTTATTGTAGATAGATGGAGAGGTATTCCTTCGTTCGACCAAGGGCAAACTGTCTTTAGTAGGCGGTGACTGACTTGGATTAGCAGGAGGATTACTAGAAGCTTGAGAAGTTTGAAAAGTAGCAGAGGACTCTTCCACAGCCCTCATGACACTGGCTCTCTGTTCTTCAAGCAAAGCCAATCTGATGGATTCCTTCTCTTTTCGCTGTCGGTTAATTAATTCCTCCATTTCTTGATTGTGTTGGAGCTGAAGCTGCAAAAGCAGTGCCCGTACTCTGTCCTTGGACTCATCATTGACTGGCAAAGAAGATGTTGCATGCACATTGCTTCCTTGAACTATGTCTTTATTATCTTGATGTGGCAATGGTCCTAGATTTTTCCTGGATTTAGGAGAATTTGAAGACTTGCATTTTATTTGCTTTTGAGAAGCATCTACAAGTATTTCAGTGTTCTCAATACTATGGGAAGACGTTGGTTGGGCAGACATACTTCTAAGGAATGATTTTTTTGGAGATAGTACTTTTGAGTCAGCATTTGATACAATCCTGGTAGACCAATTGGGCATATTTTTTGTTGAATCCACATCCCATACTCTACGGGCTGGTCCTGGATTGAGAGATGCGGAAGCTTGGTCTATCCCTGTTTCATTTCTAACATTCTTCTTCAATTCAGCTTCCATGTGAGCCAGTAACATAGGACTTGGAGAGTCTAGAGTATATGAATTGCTTCTCACCAGGCGAGGTGGTGCTTGAGCAAATCCATTACCATTTGCTTCTGTGTTCCCCTGGGGTGGATTTCTATCCATCACACTTTGGGAATTCAAATTTTCCTGAAGACTGTGAGGCTGCTGAGATGATTTTTCTTGATAAAGTCCTTCAACACTGCCTCCATCAACCATTAAATTTTGGAGATAAGATTGAACTTTTGACTCATAAGAATTTTGCAAGTCACCCCGTACAACAGGAGACAAGGCACAGTTTTGGAAAAAATTTGACGTGGGCTCCAAATGCGACATATTTTTTTTAGGAGAAACAAAATTATTATCAGCAACAATCTTTGTTTGGAGGCTTCCTTGAGGGCTTATCAAAGGTGGAGGATCATTACTGTAGAGATTTGAACTTAGAGGGAGACTGGGTGGAGAAATTGTACTCTGACTAGTCTCAGGTGATGTTGTGGTTGGTACAACATTTTGATTTCTATCCTTAAGTTGTTTGTTTTTTGAACCTCCACAATTATGTAATAAACTGTCGAGGTAATTATTCAAGTCTTCATAAGTTGTCTTCCCCTCTCTCCACGGAACAGATGAATGGGATTTGTCATCAGCTGAATTTCGACCAATGGTGCTGGGAGTAGTCACTCTTGATCCACCAGAAGATTTTACATCAATATCAAAACAAGGAATTGACATGTCCACACTGCCTTCTGTGATGTCCATGTACTGATTGAGATCTGTGCTGCATGACAAAGCTACAGAGTTTTCAGCACTATTGGGTTTAGAGCTATACACATCCACAAGAGGAATCTTCTTAGAAATTTCTGCCACATTTATGTTAAAAAGTGGAGGAGATGGTGATGCAGTTGAACTTCTCACATTGGCTTCAGCCAAAGGATCAAACTCTTTCAACATGTCAGTACTTGTTTTTGATATATCTTCATCACAACTAATTTTGATATCAAGCGCCTGTGCTGATTCACTGACTTCGTTCGAATTAGGAACTAATGAGGTTGGCAAAGAGTTGGCAAAGTGAAGTTCTTCAGCTGTTCCTTCATACATGGCCTCTCCACCAGCAGTGTCCTCCTGGGCACCATTGCTTTTCTTTCGCGCTAATCTGCTTTCAACTTCAAGGGCCATATCCTTCAAGCGCCGCATTTCCATCCTTCGCTCCTCTGACATCTGAGACAAAAGAACAAACGCCAGTTAAAGAGGAAAAGAAAAATGTTTCAACATTGAAATCAAAAGTGATAGATTGTAGTATAATTTTCCATACCAGGGGAGGCAGAATGGGTCTGCCATGAATTTTGATGCATGATGTGTAGCCACTGGAAAAATTTTGTTCGAGCCATTCCTCTAATGCTTCTTTCAATGGACTTGTTTTGCCCTCCATAGTTTCTAAGCAAAATAAATTAGATAAACAATGTTAAACATGGCCAAGTAAATTTCAAAGAAAATCTCAGTGGTAGTGAAACAATTAGAAACAAATATGAAGCTAAATTATTAACTGCTCAAGCAACTGGGCAGTTGAAGAATAACCTCTTCTCCACACTTGACAGAATATCTAGGGCAAGAATCACACTTTCACGTTTTTTAAAGAGACCAATATAAAAGAAATTTGGATAATAACGATAAAAGTTTTCATGTGTGGAAAAGAGTTCAAGTAATGTGGAATATTAAAATCACTGAGTAATGTAAAGCAAGACTTCGATTTGACAGCATCACCTCAATATTTCCGTTATTATCACCAACAAATTACGTTGTTACTTACCTAATTTCCATTTGCATAAAATGTTACAGCCTACACATATGAGTGAGTACTTGCTTTAATGTCGTTTCAACACTGTTAGAGGGATTGAAAGTCGTTGACAATTACGCTTTGAGCAAATTTCAAAATTCTGTTTTGTTTGGGTTACGAGCGGCGCCATTTTACGGCGTACGCTTTCACAACTGCCATGAAACGTTCTGAAGCCAGATCATCGTAGTAGTACTTTCTACAAGGCTCTTTTCCTCTATCGGTCCATTTCTGCTTGTTTTGAATGATCCAAGTGGTTTCACTCGATTTATTTTGAAATTTGTTTGATTTTACTTGAAGTTTGATGAGGGAAAAACACCAAATATCAAAGATTTGGAAACATAAATTTACTTCTGTATTTTGGTTGCAATGTCTTCAGAGCGTAAGTGTGATTTTGAAGTATTCTCTCAGGGTTAGGTTCTTTGCTTTGCATTTTTTTGTTTTGGTAATGATGTGTTCTGAGAAATGATGCAACCTATATTTATGAGTAATGTTACATACCTACTTGGTATTTATGTTGAACAACTTTGGTTTGCAGCACAAGCTGTGCCAACATTGAAATTCGTCCAAGTACTTAAGGGACACCGAGGAAGAGCATGGAATGTTTCCTGGCATCCTCAAGGAAATTTGCTGACTTCATGTGGAGAAGATAAAATTATACGTCTTTGGGGAACTGAGGGTGGTGCTGAAGGAAAGTGGGTTGAAAAGACTACATTAACTGACGGGCATGAGCGTACCATTCGGGAGGTATGGTACACCATATTTTTTTTTTTATCGAAGTCTCTTCTTAATATATGAAAAGTACAATGCTAATCCTTGACGTACTTTAGGTGTCATGGTCACCATGTGGTAAATATCTAGCTTCATCTAGTTTTGATGCCACAACTGCCATTTGGGACAAGAAGTCTGGTGAATATGAGTGTAATGCAACACTAGAGGGCCACGAAAATGAGGTAAATGTCATTTGCATTTCACTTGTAAAATTTAATGCTATCATGATACTTCATCAATTATTATTATTTTGATCTTTTTCAGGTCAAGTCAGTGGCATGGGCTAGGTCTGGTCAAGTACTTGCCACATGCAGCAGGGACAAAACCGTCTGGGTGTGGGAAGTTGCTGAAGAGGATGAATATGAATGTGCTGCTGTCTTGAATGCTCACACACAAGATGTGAAGAAAGTTGTGTGGCATCCAAATGACGAGATTTTGGCTTCTGCCTCTTATGACAACACTATTAAAATGTTCCGTGAAGACCCATCAGATCAAGAGTGGACATGCGTGGCAACACTTGCTTCACATACATCTACTGTCTGGAGCATAGCATTCAATAAGACTGGTTTGTACACATCTTGTAGGTTTATCTGTCTATAACTATAAAAATCGAAACTTGGTACCAATATTTTTCTGTGTCTTTGTAGGAACTAGGTTAGCTTCATGTAGTGACGATGGGACCTTGAAGATATGGCAAGTTTATCTTCCTGGCAATCAAGAGGGTATTTCCACTCCTGACGGTCAACCTGTGTGGAAATGTGTGAGCACAATTTCTGGAGTGCACACTCGCAGTGTTTATGATGTGGCTTGGTGCCATCAAACTGGCCTAATTGCCACAGCCTGCGGTGATGATATTGTCAGGATATTTCAGGTAAATAATCCAATACTTTCAATATCATGGCCTTTATTTTACAAGACATTTTTATTGGTTATTCCTTCCTGCTTTTACAGGAAACTCTGGACTCTGACCCCAACCAGCCTACATTTAACCTAGTAGCATCCTCTGTAGCATCCCATGGCCATACTCAAGATGTAAATAGTGTTGCATGGCATCCTACTGTACCTGGTCTATTAGCATCTGCTAGTGATGATGGAGATATCAGATTATGGCAATTTCTTGATAGTTCATAATGAACCAATGAAACTACAGTATCGGTCATCGGTCCAAATCCGATAAGAAAGTCTGTTTTGTTATTTAGTGAGAAATGCTTGGGAATAATGGGTCAAAAAATTTAAACGAAAATGAACTTTCAAAATTAAGTTTTCCCCCTAAAGTCTTCCTGAAAAAGAAAA